GTAGGGTCTTAATATGTGGTTTTAACGGGTTAACGATCATGTGAGTGGTCCCCACCCAGTCGGGGGAGGTGAGCATGTCTTGTAGGTAGAATGTCCCCAGTGCATTGTGTGAGCCACCTCCCTTCCAGTACATCCCCATCACATATTCTCCCGCGTCCCTTGGACTAGGGTGTTCTATATTCAAGGTAAGTTTAATGGGAGTTGACCCTGTGGGTTTACTAAGAGTCATTCTAGAAAGTAGGGGCTTCCCGTCTTTGTCAAGTCTGTCTAGTGCAACCTGAGGTCTGTAGCCCCATGGTCTACCTGTATTCCACCCGGCAGCTTTCCATGAACTACAGTGGTGTCCCCAAGCTCCTCCAGTCACACAAATGTATGGGTCCTTTTTGTTAGGTATGTCCTTGTATATGGCTGCATGTAGTGTCTGTGGGAATGTACAGGTAACTATGTCACAGTAATCAAAGGTGTATGTAGCTACATCAGTATCAGAAGAATTGTACCAGAAAGTGTAAACATGATTATCTTTGGTTATGGCCACTTGTTGGGCCCAGGCAAAATGCAACAATATAAGAAAACACAAGACACATAATAAATTCATGTTTCAACAAGATCAGCTTCTCCTGGAGCAGGCACTTTTTTGCAATGTGAAGCGTGTATCCAGGAACTTTTTCCAGCTAGTTTAACTGACGTTGCTGTAATCAGGAGCACTTGATAAGGACCATCAAATCTTGGTTCTAGGGTGTGTTTCCTGAGGAACTTCTTAACCATAACCCAATCACCTGGAAGCAGCTTGTGTGTACCTGTATTCGACTCAGGATCTGGAATAGAAGAAAACACTTGGGCATGTATCTTGGTCAAGGCATGTGAAAGGGCAGTCACATAGTCTACCATAGCGTCTGACTGAATCTGAAGCTGTTGGGGAAAGTAGCAACCTAACCTGGGTGCTGTACCAAACAAAATCTCATAAGGTGACAAACTGTGTTTTCCTCTGGGAGTGTACCTTACACTGAATAACGCTAGTGGAAGACTCTCGGGCCAGGGCATGTTAGTTTCTTGTGACATTTTAAGCATTCTGGCTTTCAAAGTGCCATTCATGCGCTCTACCTTACCACTACTCTGTGGGTGATATGGTGTGTGGAATGCAAGGGTCACCCCCAGTGCTGACCAGACTTCCCGTGTTAGCGAGGCAGTGAAGGAGGTCCCTTGGTCACTTTCAATTACTTCTGGAACCCCATAGCGGCAAACAATTTCTGTCAAGAGATATTTGGCTGTAGTCCTCGCTGTGAGATTAGTCACTGGGAAGGCCTCTGGCCATCCTGAAAACATGTCCACCATGACCAATGCATATTCATAACGTCCACTCTTTGGCATCTGAATGTGATCAATCTGGATCCTCTGGAAGGGATATTGCGGCTTGGCTAGGTGATTAGGTGCAGTCTTTATAATCTTTCCAGGATTGCATTTAGCACATATAGTACATGACTTACAGTAATTCTGTGTTAAGGTGGTGATGCCTGGTGCTTCGAAATATTTGTCAATCAGTGAATTCATCAGGAGTTTTGACAGATGAGCTGGCCCATGGGCCCATTGGACCACCGCTGGGTACATACTTCTAGGTAGGCAGAACTTGAGATTAATGGTGTAAACATCATCACGGAGTATAGCTCCTTTGTTCTTCCAACCTTGTTTCTCTTGGGGAGTAGCAGCAGCTTGCTGTTCCTTCAGAAGCCTGAGGTCTGTAGGCAATGTTTGCATAGTATAGATAGGTAGTGTATCTGTGGCCACTCTTCTGTCCACTTCCCATCTTTGCCGTGCTGCTTCTTTAGCTGCTTGATCAGCCAGGTGATTGCCACGTGCTTCTTCTGTGTCTAATCTTCCATGGGCTTTTACCTTCAGTACTGCCACCTCAGCCGGAAGTTCCAATGCGTCCATCAGCTCTGCAATGGCTGCCCCATGCTTTACTGGGGTACCAGTGGCCGTAAGAAATCCTCTGGTCTTCCAAATTAAGCCAAAATCATGTGCTACTCCCAAGGCATATCTTGAATCCGTGTAAATGTTGACACGTAACCCTTCAGACAATTTGCAAGTCACAGTTAGGGCTGTCAATTCAGCTTCTTGAGCAGACTTAGTTGGTTGTAGGGCAGCTGCTTGTAACACTTGACATTCTGTGGTAACTGCATACCCAGTGTGATATTGCCCTTGTTCATCAGCAAATCTTGACCCATCCACAAATAATGTTTGGTCCGGGTTGAGTAGTGCAGCTTCATAGACAGTTGGTAGATGTGTAGTTTCCATTTTCATTTGTTCAAAGCAATCATGAGGGATATCGTGGTCACAGTCTGTGGTGAGTGGATCCTCACAGGCTTCTGTATGGTACCTGGGGTACCCAGTTGTACAGTAATTAATAGTCTTTTTGTTGATTCTCGTAGAAGTCAGTTGTTCTGGGGTCATTTGACTCCAGGTTTTGGCCATCGGGCCTAGGTCTTTCCACGAGATGTCGGGGGTTCTGGTGAGAGATATGTGTGGGATCGATGTTTCCCAATGGTGATAGAGATGTGTCACACTCTCTGGGAGGTGGACCAGGATAAGCATGGTACCTGTGAGGTCCCAAAACAAGTCAGTCAGGGTAATTTGGATTTCTTTGAGTTGGAATACTTCTGCCTCGTAATTCATATCAGGGCCTGGTTCATCCCTAATCCACAAAGTGCAATGAAGTAGGGCCATTGATTGATCATCATGTGGAGGTGCAAGTGCAGGTAGTTGCAGATTTGTTAGAACTTCCGGGTTGATATCCAGGCTGTACCAGTGGTACACAATTCCCCCCTTGGGAAGTGGCAGAAGAGTGGCCGGGTTCAGGGTTAGGCATCTCTGAAGTTTTATGTTATCAGGTAAAAGCAATGAGGTTTGCAGGCGGAGGTGGCGTTGGGAGGAAAGGTGCTTGGGTTGAACTTGTTGCAGGATAGCAGTAATGTCATGGGGGGCCAACACGGTAAGGTGATGGCCAAGTACAAAGTCATTAGTCTTGTCCAGGAGGGCACTGGCGGCAAACACAGCACGGAGGCAAGAGGGGCTGCCCCTTGCAACAGGGTCAAGCATACAGGAAAAATAGCCAATGGGCCGTTGTCTGGACCCATGTTTCTGAGTAAGGACTCCGGAAGCATGCCCTGATTTTTCAGAGACAAACAAATTGAAAGAGAGTTGATAGTTGGGTAGGCCCAAGGCAGGAGCAGAGGCAATAGCTCTTTTCAGAGTATGGAAACAGTTAATAGTTTCTTCAGTGAGGTGAAAGGGCTCACTTCGAAGTGCATCATAGAGAGGTTGCATGAGTTTGGATGCTTCAGGTATCCAAGACCTGCAGTATATGATGAGACCCAAGAAAGCATGAAGAGAGTGATGGGTTGCAGGTAATGGGAGTTGCAGGATAGCTTGCACCCGTTGTGAGGTTAGATGTTTGGTGCCATGGGAAAGGCAATGTCCCAAGAAGACCACAGAGGGCCGGCACCATTGTAGCTTTGATTTTGAGGCCTTGCACCCGGCAGCAGCGAGGAAACATAAGAGATCTTCTGAGTCACGTTCTGCAATTAGCAAATTAGGAGCACAGAGTAGAAGGTCATCAACATATTGTAGTAAAACAACATCGAGATGTGATTTCTGCCAGGGATCCAGAACCAGAGACATGGCATGAGCAAACTGTGTTGGGGAGTTCTGCGCTCCCTGGGGCATAACAGTCCAAGTATATTGTTGTCCTTCATGAGTGAAGGCGAAGAGAAAACGGCAGGAGGGATCAAGGGGAACACTGAAAAAGGCATTAGCCAGATCCACAACAGTAAAAATTGTTGAAGTTGGTGGCACTTGGGACAAAAGGGTATGAGGGTTTGGAACAATAGCAGTGTCCTTTATGGTTACCTCGTTAACAGCACGGAGGTCCTGTACCATACGGTATTGGTCGGGTTGGCCCTTAACAGTTCGCTTTTTAACAGGGAAGAGAGGGGTGTTGCATGGAGATGTACACTTGGTGAGGGCACCTTTTGCAAGCAGGGTCTCAACTTGCTTGGTGATGGCTTCAGCTTGTGCTGGCTTCAGAGGATACTGAGGTCTACGAGGGGGGAGTGCACCAGGCAGGAGCTGGACCAGGACTGGGGGTACATGTAAGCGTCCAATATCATCCGGGCCGGTGGACCAAAGTTCCTGGGGGATACGATCCAGGGCACTGGGGGTGTGTGTGACCCGTGCATTCCCTGTATTGTCAGTTAGATTCAACAAAATTGGGAGTGAGCAGAGTACAGAAGTATCTTTCTGCGATAAGGGGGTTGTCAACTCAACCTGTCCATCAGCAGTAAAGGTAATGGAAGCCTGGAGCCGAGAGAGAACATCGGCACCTAGGAGGTTAATGGGGCAGGTGGAGGAAACAACAAAACGGGACAGGATATGTGAGCCTACATGTAAGAGTTTGGTGAGGGGGTTACTGCGTGGTGTACCATCCACCCCAACACAGGAGACATCAGTGTCAGATAGGAAGGAAGGGTCTGGCAGGTCTTGTTCCCTAAGGACACTACGGGCTGCACCTGTGTCAACTAAAAAGGTGGTTGGGTGACCCTCCACGGGGAGAACTACAGTAGCTAAAGGTCCTCCTCCATCCCCCGCAGACACTGCCATGGCGGGGGTTGCTGACACAGGCTTGCCAGTTACCTATTGTAATAAATCTAGGTGGGCTTGATCCGGTCCCTGGTACCGGCGGGAGGTGGAGGGAGGGTTAGCAGTATGCATAGGTGGGCGGGATGGACGGAGGGCATGGCGGGAATGAGGTGGGTTGTCTTGGAGGTCATCAGTATCATACCCTTCAGCGGAGGGCGAGGTGTATGCACGGGCTTCTGCTGCGGGGAGCCGGGCTTGGGAATACTCAGGAGGCGGAGGGGGAGGAGGTGGAGGAGGTAACTGAGGCAACTGTGGATGGGGTAGGGCAGGGAGGTAACCTGTGGAGGGGAAATTGTAACTGGTGACATGTGGATTTTGGTACCGGGGAGTCTGCTGGCGGAACACTCTAGGGTGTGGGCAATCTCTTCTAAAGTGACCTGGCTGATTACAATTAAAGCAGGTCCGGATTGTCGTGACAGACCGATCACGGGAGAAAGGGATTGGTGCAGGCAGTGTCGGGGGGGGCTGGGTGTACTGTTGGGGAAACATCTGAGGACCCTGGCTTGGACCAGCGAATGGGGTGGAGGTAGCATACATCAGAGGACTGGGTCTACGTAGTGTAGGTAGCAAAACAGATTCTAAGCCCTTGGCAACTAGCAAAAGAGTATCCAGTGGAATAATTCTATACTCAGGCCGAGCTAAGATTAACCCCTTACGGATGTGTTCTCTAAGCCCTGCCACAAAGGCTGCAGATAGCATCTGGGTGTGTGCTTTGTTGTAAGTACTAAACCCTAAGTCTGAAAAAGTCTGAGTCAACCTAGAGTGATACTTCTCAACTGTCTCAAGTTTGTCCTGTATAATGTCATTAATGCAGGTAGCCTGATCTGCTAGTTTATCCTGTGCCCAAGCTCGAAGCTGTTCACAAAAGACTTCACCAGAACGAAAGTCAGTATCAGAAGTAAGTGGAGCATCATTAAAACTCCGTTCCATGATTGGCCAGTATGCATCACCGGCTTTGATTTCACATAGACTAATAAGATCCCGCCAAGCAGCGGAGTACGTTTTACGGATCTGAGCCATCCGGCGGAAAAAGGGCATAGGGTGTTTTTCAGGATCAGGGAGTGAGGTCACAAGGGTAGCAGCTTGGGAAGGGTTAAAGGTAACACACATAGGCGGTGCTCCATCCGCACCATGGTTGATCGGGATGTAACCTTGAGGGATAGTGTGCTGTTGGGGGAGCCTATTCACCCCCACCTGGGGTGAATTCTGGTCAACCACAACAACCTCTTCGGGCAACACTGGGCCACGGTGGAGGGTAGCCTCAGGGGTAGCTGTAGCGGGGACAACAGGGAGGGCTGTGGTAGGTGAGGTAACTGGGTGGAAACCCGAGGCCTGGGGGGAGGCACCCATTGCATAGGGCTGGTCAGATGTCCCAGACACCTCGGATCCAACCACCATGATTGGGTAACTTGGACTGGCGGAAGGGACACGAGGGACCAAAGCCGTGGAAGGGGCTGTCACAGGGGCCGGGTGGGTTGGGCGTGAAAGGTGTGTATTTAGGACATGTGCAAGGGCGGAGATTGGATCGGGGGGCTCGGGGACTTCGGCAGGAGACAAGGGTGGGGTCGGAGGTTCGGGGGGAGGAGGAGGAGGAAGAGGAGGTACGTCAATGGGAGGTGGTACGGGGATCGCGGAAGTAACTAGGGAAGTAACAGCAGTGAAGAGGGCGGATATTGAGCCGGACAGGTCATTGGTCATGTGTGTGTCAGGGGTCACGGGGGAAAGGGTCGGAGGGACGGGACCAAGGGCCTGTGTCAAGGTCGGGGGGGTAGGGATGTCGGGGGGTGGTAACAAGGGAAAAGAGGCCGGGGGGATGGCGACGGGAGGTTGGGTTAGGGTGGTGAGGGCGGAGATCAGGGACGGCAAATCGGCCGCGGGAGTAGGAGGCAACAAGGCAGAGGGGGCTGGGGTTTCAGGAGGAGGTAACGCTGGAGGAGGAGTGAGAGGGGTGACGGCAATGGGTTGGGTTAGGGCGGTGAGGGCGGAGATTAGGGACGGCAAATCGGCCGCGGGAGTAGGAGGCAACAAGGCAGAGGGGGCTGGGGTTTCAGGAGGAGGTAACGCCGGAGGAGGAGTAAGAGGGTCCTTGGGGATGGGAGGGGTAACTGTGGATAGGGGGCCGGAGGTAAAGGAACTGGGACTAACGGGCTGAACAAGATTCATGAGAGCCGAGAGTAGGGACGGGGGATCTTTGGAAGATGAGGAGGAGGAGGAGAGGAGATGAGAAGGGGTGGGGGACAATGGAGG